ACTCCGGGTGGATGCCACTTCTGTCACCACTGCCGATGCTACCCCACATAAAAAGGGGGTGGCAGGCTGCAGGACCTGACATCCAACTGTGGGGTTCCCTAGGGCTTTGCCCCACAAGCTTCATTCTAGGCTGTCGGCTGCCAGAACACAGGCAGGATGGTAGTCGCCCTCCCAGCGCAACCCACAGCTTGCCTCTCTTACTAGGTAGGATGGGCATTTCCCGTCCCCCAAGCATTTCCAATTATATAGAATGTTGGGGGGAGGGGGACTGGCAAGGGCCATCTCCCCCGAGCCACCCATTAACCCCAGGGTGCTTAGGGGCAGGAGTTAGTACAAGACCAGGGTGTGTCCACATGCTGGTGGGCCATGACCCTGTACCTCTGGGGCCTCCAGCTGCTCTAAGATCTCCTACAGTTTAGCCTGGGACAGCAAGGTATCAGTTTCCATAGGTGGCCATGGAGAGGCACTGCAGAAGTCTTGATGATGGAGAAGCTCTGCACTGGCAGGGGAGGCTTATGCAGAACTGTTCCCTTTATATATGTACATATGTATATAAGTATCAACATTGTGGAGCAAATGCCGTTGGAAGCACATAGCTACATCCACCCTTTGTTTTCATCTGTGAGGGTCCCTCATGTTGAGCCACCAGGCAATGACTTGGTCCATCTCAAGCTCCTCACGACCTGTATGATCAATCTGCCCAAGCCATGATTTCCTAGGTCATCCTACAGGCCTCCTCCATTCAGGCTTTGTCCTGCACAAACACAAGATGGGGGGCAGGATCTTCCTATTAGAAACGAGTCGGTTGGCCATACAGCCTAAGTTGGCGATTACAGATTATGCAAGTAACAGTTCCTGTGCCAGTCTCATGGAGCTATTGTTGGTTGGACACATGGTCCTGCCAACTGTACCTCATGACCCAGTGCAAGGACCTATTACAAAAGACATCAAAAAGAAATTCCAAGGCACAGGATAACATCCATGCTCACTACTGTGCAGTAAAACTGGCATTACCAGGACCTTGAAAACACATAGTTTGGTCCTTCTGCACAGGTACCAGTATACCCAAATACTCTTGTCAAGAGAGTTTATGATCCCTGCTGCAGGGCCAATCCATCAACTAACTTCCTGGTCTGACAGCCCAGAGTTATGAACTACAATACCAATGTCCTTGCTGCAAGCACGTACTAACCAAACAGGTTCTCCTAGCAAGTCCCCAAAGTCCCAGAACTTGGTCTTGGTTCAAGAGACCTCTAGGCCCAGGGGCTCAGCTTCATTGCTAAACGCATCAACTACTAGGGTTTCCAAGGACTCAGAATAGCAACATCGTCAGCAAAGTCAAGGGCAGTAACCTTAATATTGCCTAGAGTTGCTACATAACGACTTTGGTCCATAGGTCTGAACAGTATCCAGTCCATACAAATGTTGAAAAGTGTTGGTGCAAAGACACAGCCTTGCCTCACTCCTTAGCTAACAGGAAAGAAGCTTCAAAGGCCCCCACTACACTTTACAGCACTTTCAGTACCAGTACACAGGCTTGCTATTAATCCAATACTCTTTGTTGGAATTCCTCTCAATATCAGAATCTCCCACACTGATTCCTGATGAACCGTATAGAACACCTTCTTGAGGTCAATGTTAGCTTCAAGCAGCCCACGCCCAAACTCATAGCAGTGCTCTACAGGAATTACCATTACTATTGTGGAATTACCAGGTGTGAATCCAGATTGCTCCAGCCTCTGGTGCCTCAGCAGGTAGTCTCTGATACGTCTCAAAGGATGTGAGCAAGAACATTGTCTGCTATTACAGCAGTCCCATCTGAAAGTCCCCTTTCCCCTTTCAGAGGGGGATGACAACACCCCTCAACAGGTCAGGGGGAACAGTACCATACTGCCTGATGGTAGCCAGGACAACATGCAACCTCCATGCCATAGGTTCACCACCAACCTTAAACAATTTAGCTGGGATGCCATAGATACCCGCTGCTTTAACAGTCATCAGCTTAGAGATCACCCCCTTAACTTCAGTTAGGGAGGGTGGTTCCTCACTGATGGGTGGGTCCGGTAATGGAATCTTGACATTCCTTGCATCTAATTTAACTGTGGTGGATTGACCCAGTATAGCTGCTCAAATGCTCCTGCACCCCAACAGGCTCTGAGACAATCTGGCCACTTGCTGAGTGGACTGCAGTCACATGTGAAGAGGGTTTGGATTTCAGCTTTCTCGGGGCTTGGTATGCAGGACAAAAATTATTTACTAAGAAATAGCTTTCCACCTCCTCTGCAAAACTTCTAATAATCTGTTTCTTGTCCCTTCTCAACACTGACTGAGTCCTGCATGCCAAAGAATGATGCAAATTCCCATCCCCTGTCAGACGAGTGGCACGACAGGCATCTATAGTTTCCAGTGTCTCCTACGAGATAAAATTCTGTCTTGCTCTTGAACGTTCACCAATTGATTCTTGAGCTGCACATAATGTTTCACACTTGGTGTCCTACAGAACTTCAGGGTCTGTCAGGTTGTTGAGCTCTGTGAAACAACCAGA